TTAACTGGCTTTAAGAGAAGGTGGCACTTACTGGTTGGAAATGAGCTAGAGTATCAAAGCAGTGTTAACCATAGTTATCAAAGTACCGTTGCATTGATTCTTGTTGCTTGTATCTCAATTTTATCTTTTCCTTAATGTAATTAAATGACTGAAGTGACCTGGTGGTATGGTCCTGGAAAGCAAAACTGTCTTCTCATTAACTTACTGCTTCCATATGGGTCTTAAATTTTCACGGAGACGTAAATATTGTGCAGCACGCCAAGCGTAAATGACCCTCCATTCCCTGCCCTAGTTATGTTCTGTGGACACTGCCAGCAGTGGAGCTTACAGTTTGTTGACTAAATGTTTTGATGAGAAGGTTGGAATCTAGAATCTATTTTCTCTCTTCCAAGAATACATTTCTGAGATTTCACAGAGATGACCAGACTGTTTTTGTATTTTATTGGCTCTGTAAGTAATTATTATGGGAATAATCACTTAGAGTACTAATAGTAATAATTGAACATTTTATCTTGAAATATTTCTGTCTAAAATTATTTAACTGTCACCTTTGCAGACTGCAGGCTTGGGAGAAAACACAACTACTATCTCAATTGTTTGCTTCTTTTTTTTCTTTTTGAGTAAAAGTGGATTTATTCAGAGAGATACATCCTCTATAGACAGAGTACGGGCTGTTTTAGAAGGCAAGAGAAAGGCTGTGAGGGATGGGGGTGAGTGTTTAGTTTAAAGTAAAAGTAGATACATACTTCGTAGACTGAGTGCAGTCCACCTCTCTCAGAAGGGAGAGTGGCCTCAATTGTTTGCTTTTTAAGTGTAAGTTTTAAAAGCCTATTTTGGATAGGAGTTTTCCTCAAATGTGTAAAACACTTCTGTGCCTTCTAAAACATGGTATCAATTATCACTACAAAAGTGATCTAATTGAATCAGTTTTTAGTGAGTGGGGCCACCATTAGAAACTTGAGTTATTCTTAATAACAAGATAATATTAATAATGATGTTCATAACAATGATGTTCTCATAGTTGATTGAAGTATAAGGAAGATGCCTCATATCAACTGGCCCAAGACTTTCCTTGTAAGAGCCATACTCCCAGATCTGATTCGTGGTTTCTAATTTATTGTGGGTTATCCTGGCTTCTTAGAATTATATGTAAATTAAAAGCGAAAAGACTGGATGGGGCCAGGAGCTGTGCTGTGATTGGAAGCCAAGTGGCACTGCTACTAAGTGGTCAGATGTGTAAAATCTGTTTAGGTGAGATGTGATTGTAACTGGCTGAAAGGGGGGTAGGGTTTAGTCAATATTATGGTGTCTGTTGGTAAAACCATTTGGTGGCTGAAAATCTGATAGGAAGGAAGGACATGGCTATTGTCCATTAAAATAAAATACTTGATATTGGTGACTACAGAGGTGAAAGATGATGTTTTCCAAATTAGCAAGTCATGGTATATCTTACACCCCAGAAGACAGATAAAACTTAAAACCGTCTTCAGGTCTGAATTCTGTAATTCTCCAAAATAGGTACAGAAAATGTCAATAGGTTATCTTTAAAAAGTGGAGGACTGTTCATATAGGAGCAGTAAAGGTACAAGAGTGGAAAAAAACTAAGTAGTAAAAGACAGCTAAGGGGTGGCTTCGCAGCTTTTTCAGTGGGATAGTTATTATTGAGATTTAAGGAGGGGTGGCTAACAATAATATTACTCTACCTTTCCAAAAGATAGCTAAGGGGTGGCTTCGCAGCTTTTTCAGTGGGATAGTTATTATTGAGATTTAAGGAGGGGTGGCTAACAATTAATATTACTCTACCTTTCCCCTTCTAAATTTGGAATCATCTAAGAAGTAGATTCCTTAATCAGAAGATCAAGATTTTTACAAATCAGCCTTATTGGTGGGGTTGGCTAGAGAATATGTTGTATATCTGTGGCCCAGTGGGCTTACTATAAATATTCTGCCCTTCCCCGAGTCAAACGTAACCCAGAAGGTTGCTGGTTATCTGGGACACCCCCGCACCTCTGCCCCCTGCGGTTTGCTTATTGCTGCGTGGAGAGAAGTGCAGGCCTGCTGCAGACCATGCCTTGTCCTACCGGTGCCTCAGCTCTCCTTAAGAGTCCACAAGGGGAGGGTCATGGGCATAAGTTTCTTCTCCCAGTGGTTGAAGTGTTGGGGAATGAGGCCTGAAACATAGCTGACGTCTCTCTTCAGGAAATATGACTGGGAAATAGTGGGCCTCTACTGGCAGTGTGCTGGTGGGGTGCTCCCCCTAACCCTTTACAGAAAATTGAAACATGAGTTTAAATTATTAAAGCAAAGAGAGTTATAGATCTCTGTCCTTAAAAATTCATAAAAATGGGAAGAAGTCAGTCTGGTTATAAATATTTGGGTTAATCTGGAGACAAAGGCAGAGACTGGGTGATTGCCAGCAGCCTCTCTGTGGATGCTTATTAAGAAAGCATTTGCTCACTACCCTGAAATACCTTTTGCTTCAGTTTGGTTTTGAAGTCTTGCCAGCGAAAACATATTAAGACTTTTACATTTTTTATTAACTATCTCATAATTGTACTCTGAAAATTAATTATTTTCAAGGTTATCTAATTCAGTAGGATTATTCTCTTCACATAGTAAGGATTCAGTTATACAGAGTAACAGAATGCTGGATCTGTACTTGTTGGTTTTAGTTTGTTCTTGCTAATTTCTCTCCTTCCCTTTTCTCCTTTTCAGAATCCTATTCTAAGAACTCAGGCACTCCTGTATCCACCATGGTGTTGGGTCCTGAACAGAAGATGCCAGATGGTAATTTATAGCTCTGTGCTTTTTTTTTTTTTTTTTTTTTTAGGTTTAAGCCAGTAACAGAGATTTACCGTATTGTCCTTGTCCAATATTCCAAAAACAAAATTGCCCCCCCCAAATAGTGTCATGAAGACCTGTTCCATTCAGAGGTCACCCCCTGGTGACTTAGGCCATAAATGAGAATGGATTTGCAACCACAGAGACTTGCCTCATTTCTTATTTCCAGTTCTAAAACGAGCCAAGATTAGCTGTGGGTTTGGTTTCTATAGCAGTAATGCTTTTAAGGGAAGTATTATTTGTAGCCCTGGCATTAAACTTCTAGAGTGCTTTGGCTGCTCATGGCACTTCAGATATACATGGAGCAGTAAAATGCTGGGCTAGCACCTTATACCGTGTATTTGAATAGATTTCTTGAGTGCTTTGACTAATCCTTCCTGATTCTAATTTCTTCTTTAGAATTTCCATTCCTTTTCTGGAAATTTCCTTCTGAGTTCAGTGCCACTTAACAGTGAAGTGGGTCAGCTCCTTTTAGAAAGAAAGCTTTCATTTTTCTAATTGGAGGTTGCAAAGTTTTCTTGGAAACAAAGATTAGAGCTCTGTGGTTAAAAATAGCCTTTTGATGGCTACAGCAAACTGGGCTTTGTATCTTTCTGGTGGATTAGCCCTTTTCTCCCAGACCTTCCCCCTCCCTGCATTTAAAATTAAATGCAAAATGCAGGATTTAGGGAAACACTGATGACTAGTCTGAGATGAGCCCTTCTGTCACAAGCTTGATACCTCCTCCCTCCCCCGGCTCTTCACTGCCGGCCTTAGTCAGGAGGCAGAGGGTTCCTGTTGGGTGGTTTCCCTGCAGCTTCAGATTTTAGCCTGAAATGTGGCAGGATTTTGCCACTTCCACATTTTTTGAGAAGCCTGATGGAGGTATAATGTCCAAGGATGATTCTTTCAGTAAGTCCTACCAAATGAGGGGAGCTGGGGAGAGGAATGTGTCCCACTAGACTGACCTATTTCCTGTCTTCTAAGAGTTAGGATTTTAGGTTACCAGGGGGTTTAGTGTGGGAATGTTATATATTAAGCCCTAGACATCAGTGTTTTTAGAAGAAAATGAAATGGTTCTCAAAATTGGCGAGTGGGAATAGAAGAGTGAAAGTAGGGAGAAACCATTGTGAGGTTAGTGTTGAAAACTGATGTAGAGCTCAGTGACCGGGGAAGAAGAGTGAGGGGTGCTTTTTTACCATAAACATTTTTGTATCTCTCAAATTTTAAACCATGTGAATATATTGCCTACTCAAAAATTAGTTTATTAAAAATAAAAATAAAGTACAAAAATTGGGATAGGGTCAGGATGGTCTTGTGCATTTAGGTATTAAAAAGATTTAATTTCAGTATTTCTAAGATTGAGTTGTTAGTGTATTTTGTTCATTTTAATTAATTTCTTCTCAACTCTGTTACTTCAGAAGATGCTTCTGGAGACCATGGGGACTCTGCCAGTCTCAGTGCCATCAATCCTGCCTACAGCAATTCCTCTCTTCCGCGGTCCCCCGGCGGGCACTCGGAGGAGCCCTTCACTACCTACTTTGATGAGAAGATTGCCATTCCTGAGGAGGAGGTCAGTGACAGGTCCTTGGAGGAAAACATTATCTAGGGAAAACCTATGAGTGAAAAATCCGCTGGACAAGTCAAGGTTCACCAACCTCAGACCCAGTTTTGCCAAGCAATCTCTGAAGACCTAATTTTTGTAATCAGAGCAAACAACTGTTAAGGAAACTGAGGGCCCTGGAAACCTGTTGCCAAGTTGTACAAGTGAGCGTTTTTTGATCAAGAGAGTATGAATTTCATGTTCCCTTTTTTATTGTGGCTTTTGTCCCATTTGAGTCGTGGTTGGACACAAAGGTACTGATATTATTGCTCAGGTTTTAGAATGAAAGGCTGTTGGAAAGAGCAGTTAGGGGAAGGGCTCTTATTTGGACAGAGAGGTGGCCACCTTACTGGTAAGAAGTGGATAAGATTGAAATGAAACTGGACACACCCAATATCTGACTTCCTAAATCCTTTTTTCTTATGAAGCTGATATTGTTGATTTACATGTGATAATAAAATAATAGATAAATTAGATCAGCAATTTAGAGGTGATGATTATTTTGATCTCTTTTCCTCTGTTGTATAGTACTCTTGTTTTAGCTTTCGTAAACTCTGGGCTTTCACGGGACCAGGATTTCTTATGAGCATTGCTTACCTGGATCCAGGAAACATTGAATCTGATTTGCAGTCTGGAGCAGTGGCTGGATTTAAGGTGAGCATCTAGTCCTACCTCTGTCCCTTTTAAACACTGCACACCTCACATCCTTTTCCTCTACTCTGCCTGTTGCATATCAACCTCAGTGGCTACGTGCTGTTACTTCATTGGCAGTGACACTTAGATGAAAAGTACTTTCCATCTGTTTTTAAATTTTATTTTATCCACATAGTTTCCCTGAACAAAGGAGAAACTGCAGATGGGAGAAATGAAGGCTCAGAAAGGTGAGAGGTGACCTAGCAGGTTCTGTGTAGAGTGTGATGCAGAACTCAGGTCATTTGATTCCTGACCTGGGCTCTTTCCTGAATGTAGTGTTTCCTATTCACATTGCCAAACAACCAAACAGAAGGGACCCCCCTGCCCCCACCCCCACCTAATGAGTGTTATGATGAGATCTTGTTCTTGTCTAGTTGCTCTGGATTCTTCTGTTGGCCACTATTGTGGGGCTCCTGCTCCAGCGCCTTGCGGCTAGACTGGGAGTGGTCACTGGGCTGCATCTTGCTGAAGTGTGTCATCGTCAGTATCCCAAGGTGAGGAGTTTTTGTTTGTTACTCATATAGGAATCTGTGTGTCTGGCCCCACTGTTATATTGAAATAGTGGAGAACTTGGGAGTCAGTAGCCCTGAGGAGTGGGAGTCCTACAGAAAATTCTGTAGCCCCTCTTGCTGCTAAGCCACGTTTCTGTGCTCTTTCAAAATCTAACTTGAGATTCACCTTTCCCAGAAGGTTTCCTTGGAAAAATACTGTTTGAGTAAACATTTGCCTTTCACTCTGCCTTCTGGTGTGTATCAGTGCCCGGCTCGTGAAGGGGCAGGGGCATTCTCTCTAAGCACTTTCCTTCTTACGTCCATATTACTCCCTCACTTTGCATTGTGCATATTTTCTTTTTCCTTTGTCTTTGCCTTCAGTTAGAAAAAAGTGAGTTTTTTCCTTTTGCTACAAACTATATGTGGCAGGATCTTTGGATTTGTTAATAATTATTTTTCAGTCTACCCTGACCCTGGAGTTTACACTGTCCTCTATAGCTTCCTTCTGGACATTTTGGGCCTTTCTTACTGCTGCCTAATGCAAGAATGAATCCTGTGTCTGGAAGACAGCTTTGAACTGGCTTGATCTTTAGATAACATACCAGTCTACCTCCAGTTTATCTAAGTGTTTAGTCTCCTTTCCTGGCTGTGAGAAAGTATCCTTAGCTGCTTTTTTTTTCTTACGTGCTTTTCAAAAAGAAAAAAAAAGAAACTTGGTAAATTTAAATTTTTTTAGCTTCTCTTTCCTCATGTATCTTATCAGTTGTTTTTTGTGACATGTTTTGGGTAGTCAGTACCTGGAGGGCTTTTTTTTCTTTTTTTTTTTTTTTTTGCCTCTGGCCTCAGTGAGCCAGCATTTTCTAAATTTCTGCTGGATTGTTTGACCAGGTTAGTTTCCAGATTTTGTAATAGGACTCCCAATTCCAACCACGTTGCCCTGAGTCCCTTTGCGTATCTGTCTTTTTTCACTTGCTTATGTATTATCATTACATTAAGGATGACTGCATCTTGATTGTGGTAGTGGGTTCATAGGTGTATACATCTATCAGAATTCATCGAATTATGTGTCTGAAATATGTGTAGTTTACTGTACAGGAGTTACACCCCGATAAAGGTATTTTAAAAAAGAAAAGAAGAAAGGATGACTCCAGCCTTTTCACATTTGTTTTGTCTCTTCAGCTATGATCAGGAAAGATATTTTCTTCTGCAGTCATTTTCTTTTCTGTCCTGAACAATATTTTGACCGTATTAGTATCCTCATTTTCCCCTAAAACTTCTAGGATTGCTTTTAGGCAAAAAATTAAGTGGAAATAATTATGGAAATTCCACTCGCGAGTGGAAAGGAAAAAGAAAAAAATTAGGGTCCGCTGTTGCCCTGACCTTGGTTCACGGGCTCTGCCACATGGAAGCACCTTTGCCTTCTCCAGCTAGGGACCAGGTGGAGCCACGTTCTGGTACTGCATCTCTAGACCGAAGGCTTATAAAGGACTGTTTATGGGTCAGTGCCAAGATGTGCCTTTCCAAACCATGGAGGAAGTTCTTAGAAATGATTAATTAGAACCATGTCTTTCTGTTGTTTGATGTTTAGGTTCCACGAATAATCCTATGGCTGATGGTGGAGTTGGCTATCATTGGCTCAGATATGCAAGAAGTTATTGGCTCAGCTATTGCCATCAATCTCCTGTCTGTAGGAAGGTGAGGGGGGTTTTCTCTAGGAAGTAATCGGTGTTTTGCTAGATTTCAGAACAATTGTGAAAACAAAAAACCAATTCATTTTCAATTTCCAGGATTCAACTCAAATATTCAGTTTTTTTCTGTGGAACTGTTCTGGAACCATCTTCTCTCTTGGCAGATGTGGGTTCTGTATCTTTCATGTTTTCACGTTGGGTTACGCATACTTCCACTATACAGTGTGTGGCAATGTGCATTACAGTTATTTATTTGTGTATCTGTTTATCCCACTGGACAGTGAGCTCTTTGAGGGGTAAGACCCATACTTTTCAACTTTGTATCCTTAAAGTCTGACGTAGAGGACAAAGTTTGAATGAATGTATTTCAGTTGGTGCTGTGATCCTAAACTACCCAAGGCCTGGCCTTCAGCCACTGTTGCCTCTCCCCCAGGTCCTTGCTTTTCCAAGTGTTATGTATCTGGAGAGCTGTTGGGAAGAGGCTTTCTCAATGTTTCTTTTCTTTCCTTTAATCTCTATTTCTTATCTCTGACCTAGGATTCCTCTGTGGGGTGGAGTTCTCATCACCATTGCAGATACCTTTGTGTTTCTCTTTTTGGACAAATATGGTAAGGAGAGTGGGAATGGAGGGGTCAGTCAAAGGAGCTACTTTCCATCATGTAACTAATGGGGAAGTCTGCCTTCTGTGAGCTCACTGCTGCGTTTTCCCCTTTAGGCTTGCGGAAGCTAGAGGCATTTTTTGGTTTTCTGATCACTGTTATGGCGCTCACGTTTGGATATGAGGCAAGTGTTACAGGCTGTTCGTTAGCTTTTTAAAACAATTTTTTCCCCTTTTGTTATAAATGGCAGTATAATGCTAGGCCGGTTTAATTGTATCGCATGTGTTAATAAAAAGCCATTCAGCCGTGGGCCAATTTTGAAAAATTATGGTATAGCAAGGACTAGTGTCCAGCAAGGCCTGCAGGGACTGCTGGGTCAAAAATGACTATATTTTCTAGGACTTCCCAGACTGGATTCCCTGGGTCCAAATTGGCCATCGCAACAACAGAACATCTTGGAGAGGGTTAGGGAGCGGGTGGTAGGGTTCTTGGCAGTTAACTTAGAGGGGTTCTATTTTTGCTTATCCTGGTTGATGCTAACTGCAGCTTGGAGTTTCTCTGCATTGCAGCAGTTAATGAACTATAGGGGATAGTGTGGAAATGTGGCGGATATAGTGCATTTCTCCTGGTTTGTGCCCCAACCCAGACACTCCTAGGAATCAGTACCATTACGTGCTGTAATAGCACCTTTCTGTGTCCAGTTGATTTCTGCTTATTTGGCCTAGCTAAATTTTAAAAAATATATCTCTACTATGAGTAGATGATACAGCTTGGTCTAAGGCTTTCAAGAGAAATGCTGAACCAAGAAAAAGTATGTGTGACAAGTGTTTCTGAATGAGTCTCAGCAGATGCTCCTGGCCAAAATAAGTGATTTTTAGATGAGCTTATGTGAACACAGAAGTGTGATTAGTGTGGATAATCAAGAATTGACTCTGTTCTTGGATCTGTCTCACAGGAGTTATTGTGAAGCTAGTGTAAATAGGCCCTTAGCAGCCATTTTATTTCTTTAGAATATTAATTACATTCTCTACACATCTATTTCATATATCTAAAACATGATGTAAAATACCTGGTTACCCCAGCCCTAAATTCTCTGACCTGTGCTGCTTAGTGGTTTGGGTGGTTCTGTATTCCTCATTGTCCTATGTAGTTGTTGATGTAGGGATTTAGGGAGTAAAGGCTGTGGATTGTTCCCTAGTACTGCGTGACTCCCCCAGTATCATATTCCAGTAAAGGCTGATAGCTGTTCTGTTGGTATGTAGTATGTTACAGTGAAGCCCAGCCAGAGCCAGGTCCTCAAGGGCATGTTCCTGCCGTCCTGTTCAGGCTGTCGTACCCCGCAGATCGAGCAGGCTGTGGGCATCGTGGGCGCTGTCATCATGCCACACAACATGTACCTGCATTCTGCCTTAGTCAAGGTGAGCAAGGCCTCTTGCATAGTTCATGGGATCTTTCCATTTAGTTGCAAGGGACGCACCTTTACTTTACAACTGTTAGAGCTCTGAAGGAGCAGGGTGTTTTTCCACAGTTGGACTCCATATACTTGGACACAGTTTTTATCACCAAGGTGACCAGAGATAACTGACCCCTTAGAAAAGGAACTAAAGTTCTTCATAAAAGGTCTGAAGGTGCACATTGTCTCTTGTGTTTATATCTCAAAAGCCTGGGTGGCCTTGTGGAGGTGAGAAGAAAGGAGCCCAACCTGGCTTTTACTAGTGAATCTAACGCAAGAGTTTGCTGGGAGATTTCAGAGGCCTTTGTAATTCAGATTACCCTCCCCTTAGGTCTGAAATCATGTTGCTTCTGTAGGTCAGTGATTCTTCCAGCCACGGGAACGGAGAGCTCAGCAGTCACTCAGTCACTCTTTCCTGTTTGGGAATGTGTGGTGTCTTCAAAGGGTCATGGGGTTCTTACTCACCCAGTGAACCAGGATGTAAGCTGATCCTTCCACACTTCATGTGGTCAGTTGTTTGCCCTCTGGGTCTTTCAGCAGACTCGAAACTCATGAAATAGTAAGGAAATTTTATCCCAACTAGTCAGAAAATGACTGTTGCTGTTATCTCTTTAGTCCAGACAGGTTAACCGAGCCAACAAGCAGGAAGTTCGAGAAGCCAATAAGTACTTTTTCATTGAGTCCTGCATTGCTCTCTTCGTTTCCTTTATCATCAACGTCTTTGTCGTCTCAGTCTTTGCCGAAGCATTTTTTGAGAAAACCAATGAGCAGGTGGTAAGTAAGCCAGGGTCCTGGGTGGCAGTGAATGTGATGGTAAAGAGAAGGCTGAAATGGGGTAGGAAATGTGACAGTGACTTAGACCTTAGGGAAAATAGACGTCTAGTCTCAACACTGGCCCTGAAATCACTGCACTAGTCGGGGTCTACAGTCTAAGGGCTCATCTTTCCCAGCTTTTGGCTGAGAAGGGAGCTTACCTTGAACTAGAGGTTGCCTCATGTTACTGCGCTGGTGGCGTCACATCTGTTTGGTTCTTTGTCATCCCCTTTTGTTTCCTGCTTACCAGCTGCTGGCCTACTTGTCAGTCCTGCCATTTGGTTATGACAGGTTAGGAGGAGTCAACAAACAGAAAACAGAAACTGGTTAGACAGACTGTTTTGTTATTTTGAATTCTCTGTCATCTTGATTCCCAACTGCCTATGTAGTTTTGATCAGTTTTTTGTTTCTCATCTATAGGACCTCTGACTCCTGGCTCTGCTTTGACTAAGGACTCCCTGTTCTGGGTGTCCTCTCATATTTGAAGCCTTCTTAAGAGTTCTCACCTCCTGTCATCATTTAAAGTGACCCAGCATTCTCGTATTACCTTGCCCAATCTAACTCAGTAGATGTGTTTGATGCCACAGGAGTTTAGGAAGGGTATGGAGGAAGACCACAAGGGCCGTAGCTGCCAGTCTCTGCCCTCATTACAGCCTCCGTCCAGTGTCTTACCTTCGGTGTATGTCTCTTAGATGCTCCTGTGTGATCTGTAGGAGAGATCTTCTTACCTGGGTCCTGGCCTCAAAAATAAAAATTGTTCCTAAACTGCTTTGGTTTCAGGTTGAAGTCTGTAGAAATAGCAGCAGTCCCCATACTCACCTTTTTCCTGACGATAACTCAACACTGGCTGTGGACATCTACAAAGGGGTAAACTTATTCAGATGTGTGATCTTTGCTCCTGAATCAGTATTCTTGGCATAGAATGTGGTCTTTTCTGTGGGTTCGCTTCAGCGCTCAGGATATCTTCTCTTGAGTGTCATTTTTCCCAGAGGTCCAGATGCCAGACAACCTTTTTGGATTACATGGAAGGGAACAGAAGATCACCTGAAAAGATGAATTGTATCAGTTATTCCCAAACTTGTGTTCATAGTATATTGTTCCTAGGATGTTGATTGGGATAACTAAAGAAAGTGTTCCTAGCAAAGTGTTCTTTATTGGGGGCCTCTCTGACCCTTTTATGCTGGTTACATTGTAAGCCTCTAAGAGTAGAATGTATAGTACATAGCATTTCCCACATTTGTTTGACCTTCCTCTTCACTCCTGTTACCATCTTCCAGAATAGTGTGTTAAGGAATATAATTTGGGAAATGTGTTGTAGACTTTTTTTTTTTTAATATTTAAGATCTAAGCAGAGGATAAAGGCTTAGGAGCCTGGAGGAGAGAAGGGACTAGACTGAGGAGAAATGAAGGAGCATCCAACAGAATCTAGAATGAGGTCAGGATCTGAGTCTAGCTTCTGGACAGTGCCCAGCACAGCACTTGGTATAGGTGGGTGTGAAGCAAAGGAGAGGAAGAAATGCTGTAGAGAAATGCTGTTTGGGGTGTGGTCTCAGAAGATCTTTGGCACAAACATCTTTCTCCCTTGCCTCTCCCAGGGTGTCGTGCTGGGGTGTTACTTCGGGCCTGCTGCACTCTACATCTGGGCAGTGGGGATCCTGGCTGCAGGACAGAGCTCCACCATGACAGGAACCTATTCTGGCCAGTTTGTCATGGAGGTACGTGCTGTTTTGACTGGGATAGGCTAGGGGAAGAGGACACTGCCTGTTTGTTGCTTCTTCTTAATCCCATGCTTCTAAGGTCTTCCTGAACCTCCCCAAACCCTTTTCCATTTCCTCTTCCAGACATTCATCCCATTTCTGTGTCTTCTTTCAGGGATTCCTAAACCTAAAATGGTCACGCTTTGCTCGAGTGATTCTCACCCGCTCTATTGCCATCATCCCTACTCTGCTTGTTGCCGTCTTCCAAGATGTAGAGCATCTGACGGGGATGAATGACTTCCTGAATGTTCTTCAGAGTTTACAAGTGAGGAAGGAACTGGGGAAACCCATATCCCATTGAGTCAGGCAGCGCTGTGTATTGCCCTTAGGTACCAAGCCTTGTACTGGTTGCTGGGGAAAATTTGGAAGAAGAAAGAGGCACAGTGTTGGTCTGTAGTGAATGCATATGAAATCCCTGGCATCTAAAAGGCTTTTAGAAATGGCTTGTTTTTTTAAGCCCGTTGAATAGGAATTATAAGCCATAATTACACATAGAATACAATTACAGTTCATTAATCCGGACAAACTTTAAATAATGTATAGGACACTGCTAGGTTTTAATGGAGGTTAAGGAGACAAGGTACAAATTTTGTAAGAGACACTGTGGTCATAATTGATACAAGGTTAATGACAGCTCTACAGATTTCAACATAATGCTCCAGCATGTCGGGATGACAGGAGTAATTTCTCATGGAGTAGATGAAGCAGGGTCTGTGTTTCCTTTTTGCTAACAGTCCTTCTCTCTAGGGTGATACAAGGACCCCCAGTGGCCTTATCTGATCTTAGTCTTTTCTTTTCCAGCTTCCCTTTGCTCTCATACCCATCCTCACGTTTACGAGCTTGCGGCCAGTGATGAGTGACTTTGCCAATGGAATGTGAGTGCACTTCTCTTAGTTTCCTAGAGATATGTGGGGGAAGGGCATCTTCATCAAGCAGGCCAATCAGACAGTGAGTCTATGTGCTCTGAGAGGTGATTGCTAGAGCTGCCCCCTCAATCTTTGACTTAGAAAATGGAGACTCTGAATGTAATCAAGACGGCAAACATGTATTTCATTTCTGGGGGAAAGTTTCCAACTTTTAGGACTTTAACTCTTCAACTTCAGCCACCGAAATTTAAGGCTCCATATTAAATGATCTTGATGAGAAAGGCATAAGCAAATACTTCTTATATACATCTTTAAACGACATGGGTATTTGTGTTTGAAATGACTTCTTGTATCTCTAGGGACTCATGACTTTTTACATCTTTAGGGCTTGTGAGATTTCTTAGGGATTATTTGATAGTATTTTTTCCCCTCTATCATTGCATAACTTTGGCTTATTTAACCTAATCTGGGGCATGAGAACCACTTTTCAGTTCATTTTGAAATGCCTCTTACTCCTGTGTACCCCAAGAAACACAGTGTTTTTTTCTGTTTTTGGACAGATTGGACTGTTCCACCAGTAATTGTGCTGATTCTTTTTACAGAGGCTGGAGGATTGCAGGTGGTATCTTGGTCCTTATCATCTGTTCCATCAACATGTACTTCGTCGTGGTTTATGTCCAGGATCTAGGACATGTGGCGTTGTATGTGGTGGCTGCTGTGGTCAGCGTAGCTTATCTGAGCTTTGTGTTTTACTTGGTAAGTCCAGTTGGGAGGGCACAGAGACATTTGGTATCAGGGATGGCAGAGGTGGGGCTGACTGTCACTCAGAAATGGAAGGGCCCAAAAGAGCACATTAACAATCTATCTCTAGGTTACTGACACAATTTACATTAAATTGTTAAATCAGCTGTGATTCAGCAATGTTTTTAACCATAAAATTTACCCTGGTTCCTAAGAGCTATCAGTTTCCTATTTCTGTGACTTCTGTCTGGTTTCTAGTCTTAATAATTCCTAACAGGAGAGTATAGTATGTTTGAGATAAGATCAGTAGTGTAGAAAGTGGTACAAGATGGGCTTGGAGAAGGGGGCCGTGTAGCATGATTTCAAATCTTTGGAGTGGGACATATGTGCGTTCATAGCCCTGCCCAGCTCTGCTACTTGATCGCTGTCCAATGAGGAAGGGAATAAATAGTGATATTCTCTCATTGAATTATTGTAGACTCATTTTTAAGTGATGGTTATAAAACATAGCTACATAGAAAAGGAATGCAAAATTATGTATACCTAGCTAATCAAAGAAATTTTCGTAAGTCTAAAGTAAATTATGTAAAAATGGTAATAGTAGTTTTCTTCAGATGATGAGGTTATGAATATATTCTTTTCTATTTTCCACATCTTCTGTAATATTACTTATATTAATGAAAAAGAGCTATAGCAACAAAAGCAGATCTGCCTCCCTGTTCTACACAGATTACTATAAAAACCAGGGTTGAGGATTAGGGGCGGCAGAATTGACACCATATCTGCCACAGAGAATAGCTAAGGATGGAGGCTGGAAACCTGCTGCTCATCTTTATAACACTTACCTAGTCTCCCACACCAATGTCTGCCACAGGTTAGGTACTTGATTGAGAAAATCACTTTAGTGAATATTGAAAAATTATGTCCTGGATTGATACATCCCTTTTTTTCCCCTCCCCAGTAAACCATGGGCACGCTAAGATGATGCTGACCCTGTAATACAGGGACTTATTCCAAGGAAACTCAAGTAGCTGAGTATGTCCTTGACAGACATTGTTTTAAAAATTTGCTGTAGAAGTTAAAGGAATCTTTTCTTCCTAAATTGGTTATGAATGTGTGAATTGTTCTCAGTCAGCCTGAGGTGATTGAGATTTCAGCGAATGACCAATGTGTTAGCCTGTCAGTCATTCTCCCCATCATGAGGAATGGGGTAGGACTGAAGAACAGCCTTCTGGGAACTCTCCCAGCCAGATAAAAGAAACAAGTCACAAACATAAAGCAATAGGAATGGAGGGAACTCGGTACCGAAAATGGTATGGCAACAGAGAGCAGGTTTGCGTGTGAGCTGTGCGGTGTGAGCAGTCACGGTGGGTAAGAGGGCTTCGGAGAGGTTGGTGAGTGATGACTGTGTTTTCTCTTTCAGGGTTGGCAGTGTTTGATTGCACTGGGCATGTCCTTCCTGGACTGTGGGCACACGGTAAGCATCTCTAAAGTCCTGCTGACCGAAGAAGCCACCAGTGGCTATACTAAGTAAACACTGGATCAGTCTATCTTCCGCAGGTAGCCATCAGAGCCAGTGTGTTTCTATGGTTTACTGTGTGAACATAGCCCAAAGTATGTGCTGTTGCACAGACTGTGTTTAGGACTCAACTATTTGTTGGGAAAGACTTTGATTTATATATGTTTGAAAGATGGAGTTATTTTTCTTCCTGACCTCCTAACCTGGGAACTGGATTAGGTAGGATCTTTGGAAAGCTGACATTTGCTGCTATCATTCCAACACTATAAACTCTTCAGTAGATGCAAAGGCCAGCTTGTTGTATCTTTTTGAGAAATAATCCTCTATGCATGATTCTTAACAAGGCTATATGTTTAAAAAAATTTGGAAAATGCAATACATTTTTCAGAATACAAATGACAGGATGGGTATGCAAGTTTTGTTTATCAAAAGATAATGGATTTTAAAAGCCTGAGAAATACTTCCCTTATGCTTACTCTTTTAATTATTTTAATTATAAAAATAAAATCTCGATTAGGATGGTTTGATCCATATTAAATATAAAATTATAAGACCCCTACATCTATCAAGTTCAGGATTCTTTTAACTTATTTCCACTTTAAATTTCTCAATGAAAGTCAAGAAGGGTGAGAAAGCATAAAGAAAGTGATAAATGGACAAAATTCACCAGTAGGTGGTGGTTACTAATCGCCTTTGGAAATCACTATAAAGATTTTCCTCAGAGATTGAAAGCTTATTGGAATTTTCTTGGGAGTCCTGATTCTAATAACTCATGTTAGCACACAGCTTTCATGATACTTCTTCTCGAGCACTTTTCTTTGTAAAACCTTCACCTTCCTCCTCCAGGAGGGTAGTGATAGAAAAAGATGGTAGCATTTATGAACTGATGTTCTCTTGAGACTTTGGGGGTGAGGAGAAAAAACATGCAAGGAGAAGAAAAGCCATCTGTTTTGTGCCTAAAAGCCACCTTCTACCAGAATCATCATGTTTTTCTGAAGCATGCCCAAGATGACTTGCAAAACAGTCTCAGGAGCTCTGGATCTAACCGTTGCAAAGCTCTCTTTCTCAGCAAGTCCATAGGTATCGCTATGGTTGCAAAGTTCTCTCAGCAGGGTTGCGCTGGGCTACCTCTCTTCAGCCATTCCCTCAGGGGGAAAAAGTTTGAGACCAGATGGTGGAGCTCTGGAGTCAGAGGAAATGGGGCCCTTCAGCATGAAGCTGCTGCTCTTCAGCTACTTCTGGCATTTTTACTCGTGGAGCCTGATACCATGTGGTTGTCTCAAATCAAAGCACATTTGTCTGGTGGAGATCATCAAGTCTGTTATAGCCACTGACTTGATGAGAACAGTAATGGGAATGGCGTTGAAGGACTTCTCATTTTTTGGCGCTTTCCTTCGGAGTCCTTGTTGATAGATGCTCTGTGTTCACCTGAACCCCTAAAGGCATTATAACCGGTACTTTGTACAGTCAAAAACACAGACTGGATGAACTGTCTTTTCTCTGGCATTAAGGGTAAACTACTGTGTTTTGCTGGCTGTACCTTTATCTTAGCCCCTCCAGTAATGTAGCACAGGATCATGAAAGACAAACGTCCCTAACTTCCTCCTCATGTCCGTCCTGCTCCCCTGCCGTCATTCCTGGAACCGGTCATGTGGGTGTACTCTGGACATTTTGGGGACTGACATCTTAGTTCTCGTCTGGCTGCAGTAGGTGAAGGCCAAACTGACATAGAAATTCTTTGTAAAGACGGTACAGTAACACTTACCTTTGACCTGGGTCTGCCTGGGTCCAGTCAGTCTCTGATTCACAAATAATTATAAGCTCAGGTAAAAGCTGCTAGTTTTCTTTTAACAGTTGTGTTTATGACTTGCAGTGATGAATATTTTCTTCCCAGTAAAATGGCATTTTATCACTATGTGTGTACTATCTGACAGTGTGAAAAACACTCCCATACTGTATTCCATTTGATCCTCTCAGAAAGTGTACGGTCTGTTCAACCAGTACTCTGGGTGCAATAAACAATGTTGAGAACTGAAGTCTTCCAGTGCCACCATGTGCAGTGTGTTTATGTGGAATGTTTAAGGATATACAGTTGTACTTTGTGTGAATTGGCCCTTGTTCTCCATAAATGTGGCATGAAATATAATTGTGCTGCTACAGCATACTGGGAATTAACAAGGATGGGGAAGCACTGCAGTTTGGCTCCTGTGAGGTTCTGCTAGTCTTTTTACGAGTGGTTACAACTAGCGTTTAGTGACCATTTAATGTGTAAACTTGGTTTGTAATTAAATTTTTTTCTTTTTCCAATTTGGCTTCTTGGGTATTTTTTTCAACCTTGAAAGTACTTTATTAAGGGTCTCAACAACATTGAAATAGTGAAACACTGACTGCCACCTGGAATGACATATTAAACCCACACTATTAGTGAATTTCTTTCTAGAAGGGATACAGAAATACAGTTGAGCCCTGGACAACTGAGGGCTAGGGGCACTGACCCTTGGAGTAAAAAAATCTGTGTATAGTTTATAGTTGGCCCATCATGTCCAGTGTTCCTCCGAATCTAGGGGTCCACATCCTTGGATTCAAGCCAGTCTTGGATCATGTAGTACTGTGGTATTTACCATTGAAAAAAATCCATATACGAGCAGACCCTCAACAGTTCAAATCCACATTGTTCAAGGGTCAGCTGTACTTAGGTTTAGTCCCCAGAAGACTTGATGAATTGCAGACACCAAACACTAATTTCTACTTACCCATTTAGTCAGATAGTTTTGCTATTGCTAAAGGTCACAGCGTTGCCACATTTAAAGTTGAAAAAAAATTGTTACTCTGTCTCTCTCTGCTCTAAGCTGAACATTTTTCTATCTGTAGTCTTGTTTCATCATTGAGATAGGCTTTTGTAGTCTTTTCATGCTGCCAATAAAAAGTAAGTATTTGAAAAGAGAAACCAAAATTGTTTAGCTTAAAAATGAAAGAGCATTTTGGCAGATCTGATATAAATGGTAATATTGGCACCATTTACTGAAAACAAAGTTCATGCACAATAAACTACTAGCCTTGTCATCAAACACATGACCAGAAAATCTAAGCCGGCACTTAATTTGTTCCAAAGGTGTCACTAGAACTTCATTTTCCCTTTCTCTGTTGCAAGCTTTCCCTGTCTGTCTTACAGGAGCTGAATACTGTAAGTAACACCGTACAAGTTATCTTGGGATTTTGTTCTCCATGTTATCCTTTCTCATTTAGTTCTCCCCTCTTAACTTGGGTTTAATTTCAGAAGAAAAACAGAATGCATAACAATTTGAAGATCCTGATTTGAAACATTTCCTTTAGCTCTGCCCTCTGGAGTGCTTTCTGTCCTTCACTGGATAGGACCAATGAATCTAATAAATGTGTCAGCTTCTCTTGGCACCTTAGCTTCTGAATGTTAAAAATGGCTAACACTTAGTACTGTGTGCTAGTCCTGGTCTGAGCACTTGTGATCTCACTAATCCCTATCACAAGAGGATCAGACTCTATATAGATAAGGCAACTGAAGGGCCAAAAATTACAGTAACAAACCACTAGTAAGTGGGCAGTTGGCATTGGAACTTGAAAAGCTTAACTCCAGAGTTAAGACACCAACCGTTGGTGTTTAGCAGCACCGGGAACATCAACACATCAAAGAATTTGCTTGATACTCTGATTAGTGCTAAATGTTTTAGATCAGAAGTTGCCAGCTGGTAGACTAATTTTGTTAGGCCTGTGCTTAATTTTTAAAAAGGTGAATGCTTTTTGGTAGGTGTGGAAAATGGACAGGGCCCTCTATGATCCAACCCAGCAGTAATTAAGAATAGCCTGTTTATTCATTTGTATGCCTCTGTGCCCTTGAGTTTTAGCCAGTTTCTGTGCCCCTTGGCCCCATTTCTCAAGTGTCTCAGAACAATAGGACAAAGTTCTCCAGCGAAGTTCTAGCTACTGAGTTGTCCAAGTGACACATCTGGATATCTTGAGACTAAAAAATGCAACCCTTGCTTACTACATAATGAATGAGGCAGCCCCCCACCTTAGCTTATTTGGGAAAAAAGGCTGCAGTGAATTGTCAGTGTGTCTGACAATTGCTCTTGGTTACTCAAACCTGAGATACTAGACCCTAAAGTGAGTAAGCAAGCTGAAATCTGAAAAGCTGTTTCTCTGCTCTAAGGCGAGTGTGACTCAGTAATTTCCTAGCCCTCTAGTTGAGAATAGTTTTATCTTGAGCTCCATCTGGTTTCATCTTCACACAAGCCTGTGAGATATATACAGGGTAATTTGTAGTGTGTTAAAAATATATTTATTTATAATGTGAGATAGTATCTCACTATACTTGGCATTTTCAAATGTACCATTTATTCCCACTTTACTAATATATAGCATAAGGCTCCAAAAGGATCATGACTTGCTCAGGGTCATAGGAAGTGGCAGAGTTGGAGCTTGAACCCATCTCTACTGCCTTTTCCACTATATTGTGATAGAAATATTCTCTTCCTATGGATTTAGTCTGCATTCTGCATTCTGAGCACTCATATGATCTCATTTAGAGGATCAGTCTCTATACAGGTGAGGCAACTGAATGGCCAAGAAGAGGCTGTTGGTGCCAAGGGGCAATAACATTCCTAAATCCCTGAGCCATAACAGTAGGGGCTCAAACAAGACTCACTGGTTGTCCCATTGTGTATGCAGAAGAGAGAAAAAGAGTAAGGTAAAACTTCCCAAATGCCAGCACAAACCATCTGGATTCAGGTCTCCAGGAGTGGGGTCTGGCAACGTGTTTAAAAGCAGCCTAAATTGATTGTGACTCAGCCTGATAAACATTTGGAACCTGGAGATAATAATCTCTCTTAGCACATGCCATTTTGTGTATGTATGTGTAATGAAAGGCTTTTTTTCTCTGCTCTGGTGCCAAAGGATAATGGAGCCCAGATAATAGGGCTCAGGATTTAGATCACTTGAAATTTGATTTCTAACATACTTGGTATTAAAGTGCAAAAGCTCTCAGTGCGTTTGCTCATAATATCCTGATTAGAAGCTACCATCCTGAGGCAGAGTGTCACAAGAATAGTCAAAGTGCAAATTTTCCTGAGGGCATTTGATATTATCCTTAACTGTTTTAGCTTCTAGCTATTATGTTATATACAAATAAGCTATTTATGTACCTGTAAGCCATTTCTTTCCTGAAATAAAAATATAGCAGTACTGAAAAAAGACCTACACTGATATGCTGATTATAGGTACCTAAGTGCCAATTTCAATATTTGAATTCTTGATTATCAGTCTAACTTTTTCCCATCTTTTTGTCCTTAGTATCATCTGGGATTGACAGTGCAGCCTGAACTCTACCTTCTCAACACCGTGGATGCTGACTCACTTGTGTCTAGATGACTGACAGCCTGAGAGACTGTATAAGACCCACTTATAATTCTTTTGTGCCAAGTGTTCTGTTAACATATCTCTGTTAGTTCAGAGGTGAGTTTTGTTCAAATGTTTAGAACAAAAGGCAAAGATTTCCTCGTGGGAATTGTGTTAAACACTGCCAGCTCTAAGTGTAGGTCAGAGACCCACCCCACTGCACAATAGTCCTGCAACAGCCAAAGTTAAATGATTAGCTGTGATGGCCACACACCCCATGGGCTTGTGTCAACACTTTGGAATTTTAAAAATATATATGTGTATATGTTTATGTAAACCTGAACATAGCAGTTTGGGCAGAGTTTTAAGGTTATATAAAGTTGATAGATCTTTTGTATTTTTTTAAAAAACATTGTTCAGAGAAGTCAGATATTTATTTCGTCTGGATCACAAGTGATGAAGGTAAAGGAGACCTGCTCTTTTTCAGAATGAACTGGTCAAACTGACTTACTTTTAAAGTGATACTTGACTATGGCCAGTTGAATTTCACTTTGGTTTTAATTGACCAAACCTTGATAACTACTGTTACTAGCACATCATTTCCAAAGGAAACCTTTCTTCTGTTTGGCAGTTAAATTTAACCCTGGTTGTTGGCGTGCTTTGTGATTGTTATTTTCTTTGTTGTTGCCTTTCTTGAATATTTTTCAGAGATATGATGGTACTTAATACCTAGTAGCAAGATCCAGAAATCATGCTTTAACCAATGATCAGTTTTCTGCGCTGCATCGTAACTCAGCCCATTCTAGCATTTAAATCATAGGTATAAAAAGAAGAATTCTAACACTTGACTTTGTGCGTCCCAGCAGAAGGTAATGGAAGTATTAGTTTTCTTTCCAATGTTTGTACAGTCCCACCATGTCTTTTCTTCCCACTTTTCCTATTCACACTCCAAACACCATTTCTAGGTCCAAAATCTATTTCCAGAAATTTCTAATATTGGCTCTCCTAGGGAATGCTAAGCATTTTAAGATATTTATACCAAGTGATTTGAGATTAGAACTAGACAGGGACTTGAAAAATTAGTTCACATGTCACAGACTGCCTGCCTTCATGTGGACTATAGATTTTTTTGACCCCTCTTTGTAACCAGAATTTTTTTTCTATAACATTTTTATAATAAATTAATACAGTAAGTTAATATTTAAAACTTGAAAGTTTCTGCATAATTATCTGATCTAAACATCGGAAGACTTTCAACACTAAGCTGACAGTTCTTCATGGAAGTACAATTGACTTGAACTGAATGGCCACTTCTCATTTTTAATGGAATATAGTCTGGGGTGGCATCCACGCCTTCTCTCATTTCCTTCCAGCCCAAAGACATTGAGTTTGCAAACCTGCAACTCTTTGTATGTTTAAGCATCATTTTCCTCTTTCAGCATAAAAATTAAATATCTGACCTCTCTGCCTTATTTTAAAACTTGGTACCTTTCAGTAAGACACTTTTTAAAAAAATCCAGACATTGCCTATCTTTACTTATAATGATTTGGTCCTCTAAGTGGCAGGGAATTTTCTAAGATGGTACTTTAAAATTGCCTCATTTCTCCTTCGTGGCCCTTGAAACTTCTGATAAGAGCAGCAGGCTTGCAGCGCAGGTTAGAGTCCTTCTCATCTTAAAAATGAAACTGAATTAACATCAGTTATCAGCCTTTACTTGAAAAAGAGACTTATAAAGTGAATTTCAGTGTTTTGGTTTCTTTGTACAGAGACGGCAACTCTAGATGCCTCAGTTTGTTGGATTTTCCTCCCTCCCTGGGCAATTTTGTTTCTTAGTAGTTTCATTACCAGAGATTGGGGGAAAGAAAGACAAAAAAAAAAATCCTGTTTTGGAACTCATAAAAAAGATAAGGTGGTTGGTTAAACACAGATTAAGTACTTGGGGGATTTCTGTAGCTTTTCTCCATTATTTAACTGTATATTACTAGGAGCAGACTAGAGTTTACAGAAGTTTATAAATACAACCCCTCAGGTCATGCAACTGTAATCAGAAAATTTGATAATAAAGCAAACTGAATCATGCTAAAACCAGTAGAGGAAATTGATGTCTAAGGAGTGAGTCTTGGGTAAACTTTTTTGCTAAGTTAAGAATATTTAATCATTCTCTAATTTGTGATTTAAAAATCTGGATTTCTATGTTATGTGTTTATATAGATTTTAATATATTCAATCTTAAGATTAACCTAGATGTATTTACTCACTCAGTTCATGGGGTTTAACACTACAGAGTCAGTTTGTAAAAGGATGCTCTGACAGCGTATACCCAGAGTGTCAGAAAAACACAATTAAATAATTGTTACTGAGCAGGTACTACTATAGAACTGTGTATTGGCCTAATATAAAAGGTAATCAGAGCATATCCAGGCACATGAAGTGGTTTAATTAGTTAATGAGGAATCAGAGGTTATGGTAGCCAATGAAAATGGCTGTCTCAGTTTTTAAACATTTTGATAGTTAGCCACCAAAACTTTGCCCCAGAAGTATTGTGCAAATTCAGGGACTGTGTATCATCTATTTATAAGGTCTTCCTGCAATGACCTTCCCTCTTTACCCAAGCTAATGTGGATAAATGGGCATCCTGCATGCTTAACTTTTCTCTATGTAGGATTTTACATTTTAATTTAAACATGATTTGTGAGTTCTCATGCATAACTACTTCCAATAAATATTTTACATTGCTTTTTTCAAGCAATAAATGTATTACTTTAGTTCTTTCAGAGTAACAATACAAAATTCTAAAACTCTGTTTGGTTTTGTGAGAAAAGTCTGTTTCTGATTAAACACTTCAGTTGATGTGTTTTTAATGCTGAGTATATATTGAGAGTGGGATCCTTCTGGTAGCCTGAATAGAAACATCTTTTCATTGTGTAATCAACAAGGATGGCATCTCTATGCTCGCTGTCCTCAGTTTTCCTGACTTTCACGGAACATATTAGAGCCAGCTGCTAGGATATTTACTCTAGTGGAATAAGGTGGTTGGATTCTTTTCCTTGCCAACTTTCTGAAGAGGAGTGTTGACTGAAATATGTGTACTTGTTGGTGGCACTAGAAGGGCCTCATGATAGGTACAAATGGCAACTTTTAAAATAATTACCCTGTGCCCGTAGAGAAAAGTGTATATAATACACAGAACAGTGGGCTAATGTCTAGAATGTGGATGTTTTCAGATATTCCTACATCTTTCTCTTCCCCAAATACTAGACTTCACCTTCCTGTCAGAGTATTCCTCTGCTACAGGAAACATCAGGGAAGAGGAAATCAGCACCACAGACCATCTGATAGTGTGTTCTTCATTTTAGTTCAGTAAAAAAAAAAAAAAAAAATATATATATATATATATATATATATACACACACACACACATACACACATATATATGAATACACAGTAAATATGTATGTATGTTTATATATATATATATGTATGTATGTATGTCTATGTCTGTGTCTATGTATATATATGAATACACACGTTTTTTGGTTTTCTTTCCCAGGCCTGGGGTCTTAGAGAGTAAATCTGAGTCATAACAGTTCTGACTTCCACAAAATCTAGTTAAGTTTTTTGGAACCCTAGGGCAATTACAGAGGAGTTTACACAGGCGAATGTAGCATTCAGTGTTTTGTTTCTTGTGTTTTTCTACAGTGTTATACCAGATTAGCGGTAGCTTATCTAGACTAAATCCTTTCACCCCCACAATACTGCCATCTGGAGGAAAAGGGATTTTTTAACAACTTACCTTTGTGCCCCTAGAAATGCTTTCAAGAAGTATAAAAATGAATACATAGATATTTAAATGTTAGACATTTATGTTTGTGGTAAAATAGTCAAAGTTTCTGTATAAGAGTGTAGCACACAGTGGTGAACCAAAATTAAATAACAACATGACCATTCTCCTCTGATACAATTGTTGCCCATTCTAAAAACGAGTCTATGAAAGCCTTAATTACCTAGTCCTATTTGGGAAGAATTAAGCGATGAATTTAGTTTAATATGGATATAGAAAATTTAATAAACATTTAATATGGAGATAGGATGTTTTCTGTAGCCACTATATAACTCCAATTTTCAGATTGATTTGGCATAATATAGATTATTTTCTACCACTAACTAGAAAATAAACATTTTATTTTATTTTTATTTTATTTTATTGAAGTACAGCCAGTTACAATGTGTCAATTTCTGGTGTACAGCACAGAAAATAAACATTTTAAAAGTCAGAAAATCATGTCCTAGGTTCTGAAAGACATCAATAAGGATATTTTTTGAGTTGACAATTTATGATTGTTGATTTGGAAATCAGTTTTTTAAACAATTGATACTCTACAAGGCTATGAGAATTCTGTCTGAAACGTCTGCAGTATAATTTGCTATGTATTGAAAATTCATTCTTCATAATAGTTTTTAGAAGGCTTCTTGTCTTTCTATTTATAGGTAGTTTCATTTTTTGGACACATTGAAGAATCGAGGTCTGATGTAATCCTTATACATAGAATAGAGAACACCTAGAAGCAAAAAGATGTGTATCAATAGAGTACCCATGGGAAACAAACACTAAATTTCTTCACTTGCATTTTTCTGAAACTAACCCACAATTTAAAAACAGACGGCAAACACCTTCCATCTTATTAATTTTTGGCTTGAATCACAGAAGTGACTCCAGGGGGAAAAAAAATCTAAGGGCCCTTTAAGATCAGTATAAATCTGAATATATGATGATGTTACTATGCCAAGCTAAAGTTTGAATTTTAAAATATTGTTGAAAAAAGAAAGTGGGAAGATTTGGGTAGATGTTGAGATTAAAAACCAATAGGCATCTCAACGTAGCAAACATCTATTCAGTGTCTACTTGTGCTCAGTATCCTGAAGAAAACAAAGGTGATGGATCCCACCCCTGCTTCTAGGGATTTGCGGTCCAGTGGGTAAATTAGCTATGAGTTTAGGCAGATGAGACAGATGTACGTCTTCCCCAAGGATGAGGTCCTAGGGTTATGCAGAAAGGGGGAAGTGGCCAAGGAAAACAGCCTGCGGAACAGAGGAGCTGCTTCAGTGAACTCCAGG